GCTATTAAGCTTTACATAGTATTGTTATTGATTACTTATCTATGATTCTATTCCTATAAAATAAAATTTTATAATTTGTTATAGTAAAAACGGTACAAAGCAAAACAACCTTCAAAATGTAATGAGTAAAACTATAGTAATACTAACAGCAAATTGAATCCTAACGGTGATTAAAAACTATATAGCGTGAATATAATTAAACTAATCCATATCTGTTTCAAATTGTTTAAAAGTAATTTGGAACAAAACGTAAAAAAAAACAAAAAATAAATGAAATTAAGAAGAAAGCAATGAATTTATTAGATAGGTAATTCAACATTTTATTTATTAAGAAAACAAGATAACCTCGCTACCCCGTAAAAGTGTTTGTTGATACGGTTAAATGTTTATATATTTTATAAACAAAGTATCGATATTACGGTTTCTAATTTCGTAGATCAGTAATTATAATTTCCAATAATAGTCAATAGATACTAGAAAATTCAGCCGATTCAGAGTTCTTACATAACGCATAGTACAATATTTTACATAAACACTCTACAGGCCCTTCTAAAAACCAAGAAATATTATATCTTTACCATTAAGAAATAGAGACTAAATTACTTATTAAAATGGTTACCCTTTAAAGGTGATGTAGTAGTTTTCATATCATGTGAAAATTTATGCGTAAATACTTCATGTATGTAGCAGACAATATTGTGAAATAGTTTGTTTGATTACAACCGTTAGCATCCAAAATGTTATTGATTAATTTAAAAGTAGTTATAGCATAAATTAATTTAAATGTCATTCACCCCTCTTATAATTAAAAAAAAAAACCTAAGCTAACGTCTTAATCATCCAAAAAGGAACATAATTTGATCAAGGCTCAAAGTCACAAAGCCATGTTTTTATTTAGTTACAAATACAATTTTATTAAAAAACAATCAAATTTTCGTTGTATTTAAACTTATTTTAAAATCTTTACAAAGAGATGCATAAAGAAGATAATTTCAATATCTGTATTTTTATAATATTCTTAACCTCACATGTATTAAAATCTAAATTATAATAATTATTTTTTTACTTTTTAGTTTTGGAAGTCTGTTTTATTTATTTGTTTATTTTTTATTTTTCAATTTTTAGTGTAGACATAGTACATATTAACAAAATAAGAAGTATTTTAAAAATTTAGTAGGTGAAAATCAATCACCCCTATTTGATTCGTTTTTTAATTTAAATGGGACCAACTTTGAGGTATACCTCCAATAAAAAAAGCAATCATGAGGACTGTCGACAGAAGTGAAAACCTAAAACTATAAACAAACAATTGTTATTTTTGGATATTTAAATTGTTTGATCTTAAATTAAAATTTGTAAATTAAAACGGTTTACATTTATCTGGTTTTGACATCTATCGGCACTCTAAGGGTTAGTGACGTGATCATTTCGATGACGACTTACATGAATTTACTCCCCATCCAAACATTCCTATATAAAAGGTTTCACTTCAAAAATATGAATCGAAATCGCACTACACTGGAAAAAGTAATGCGTGGTCAAAATTAAAAAAAAAAAGAGAAAATACTTATAGAACCTTCTCCTTTTTTTTCGTCAGTTAAAAAATATATTTATTCTTTAGTTTGGACAAAGGAACAGAACAGATAGACGTTAAATCGTCGCAATAATTCTCTATAGTTTTCAAGACGTCCACCTTTTTGTGTTATAACTAAAAGCTTTAAACTATAATAATAACCATTAACCTGCCTAAACAAAATATAACCGTTTATTCAGTCATGTGCCTGAAAACGTTTAAGTGCAGTAAGTGCTTACTGATGTACTTCCTTCTAGTAAATAAACTTATTATGATATTTTTAGAGTTCAATTATTAATCTAGTTTAGTACAAACTAGCTTATAAACAAAGAGAATATAAACACCGTAACCTCATAACCTTACTTAAACACACTTGACACTTTTTCTGAATAGGTAAATGAATAAGCTTTAAAATTATATAGTTTTAATATTTTTACATAAATTAGGTTGTCCTAAGTTTGAAATTTCTCAAATGTCGCCGATTTTAAATGTGTTTATAGAAAACTGATTCTTTGCCTTCGAGCTAAGATGAAGGTCAAGAGTGAACCCATTTCTAAAAAAAAGTCCTGCGCCTCCGCTCGTTTGACAAGCAGGACAATGTTAAAACGTGGCCTACTCCTACGTCCTGCTGAATGATAAATCTCTTCAGCGATTCTACGGTTATACGGGAAAAAGCGACAGAAAGAGTTGGGGACTTTCATATTTGAATTCTAAGCATGGATATCTTTTGGTTCATACCTTCATGGCACATGGTCGCTAATTCAATTCCTTTATAATACGGTAAATTTCATTTACCGTACAAAAAAGGCGTGCTTTAGAAATTACTATCCATCAATAACGCGTAGACATGACTGAACCAGCTGATCACCATGATACCTTTAACATTACACGAAAACAATTTTTTTCTAATATAAAATAATATAGTTTATAATAAATAGAGTTCATTTCATTCCTTTATTTATTTTTTATTTATATATCTTCCTTTCTTTTTTCATATAATTTCAACTGCGGAAAAATAATAAAACTTTTTAATTTATAGTAAGAAACATGTGGGCATATGAAAGATTTTTAGTCGCTTTCACTGCCCTACTTATTATAGGACTGACACTAACGGTCTTTGCCGCCGACATAAATGTCACGATAACTGTCTCGTCTAGCATGCCTACTCTATTCTAAGAACGCATTAGTTAATTTATTAGCGTTTATTTAAAAAAAATATGAAAAATACATAATTGTGTATTAAGTGATGCCTTATAAGAATTTATTTAGTCCATATTGTCTATCCACTGATACGTATATATACATATATGTAATACTAGCTACTCACTCTCGCTTCGCTCGGGTTCGTCCCTAGGTACGTTTTAACGCCAAGCCTTTTCGACGTGAAAGAAAGACAAACAAACAAACAAACAAGACTTTCACATTTATAATATTAGTATGGATATTAGTAAGTCTAAGTAACAGACAACCTGACGTAATATGAGCAAATAAAATGTTACTATATAAAAGCGTACACTATTTTATACTTTCTTGTCAAGGTCACAAGCTCTTGGTAAAGTCTAGTTCTCCAATAGACTGGCTATACGCTAAGAAAGGGGACTAAGTAAATAAATATTTAAGGGTGGCTATACTTGGTAGGTTGCCAGGAAAGTTCAGATTTTAAGTCACTAGGCTCTATAAACATGTCACTTTCCTTCTGTCTGAAGAAGTTTTTTACTAATATGTCTCATACAACTAGTTAGTGCAACAGTTCTCGGAGAAAAATTATTCCTACATTTTATGTTCCTATTATTAATACTAATTTTGTATGTAGGTATAGGTGCTTTTAATGTTTTATGTATATAGCCGGTGGTAGCTTCCTCACGGACTGACTACACTGACGCTCTTTAAATTAAATTGACGATTCAAAAGTGCTTATAATAAGTCTATTGAAATAAAGTTTCATATCACAATAAAATAAACAAATCATATGTGTTAAGTCTAAGTACTTTTTATTTTTCACTCATATTTTTTCTACATGTAATCAAACGGCAATAATAGGTAAGTGTGTCAATTAGCTTTCAAACTGTTTAAGATCAAGATTACTGTCACACACTATTACTAACAGAAACCAATGATTTTCCTTCTTTTTCTTAATGAATAACCAACTAAGCGAATGCTTATACGATCTTTCTAAAAATGTTAAAAGTTTATTTTCGATAAAAAGTGTAATCATGAAGCAATCGTTATCAAAAGGCATACACTTTTTCTTCAAATATTTTAAGATATTTCAAAATTGCAACCTGCAGTAATATGCTAAGAAGTTTAAATGCTAAAAGTATTTAAATTTCCTTTTAAATGAGATGTCTTCATACAAAGTAAAATTTCGTGTAGGTAGTGCTTATTAGAAATAAAACAAAGCTGTATACATGACGAATGTAACGTTTGAAAGAAAAATGTACGACATGAGTTCATTCAACCTTTCTATATCATGAGTCATATGCTTAACCTAACTTTGCAAAAAATACCTTTTCTAAACTATTACTAATAACTTTATAAGATTCCGGAGAATATTTGAATTTTTGAATAAACTATATTTTCGGATTTTGTCGCGGTTTTATTTTGTATATTTGTTCCGACGTTTCAAATGCTTTACAGCGAATTGTAACAAAAATGCAAAACAGGTCAGAGACCGAGTGCCTCTCACTTAAAATACTATGAACTATGCACACCCGGAGGTCCTGGGTTCGAGTCCCGGGTCGGGCCAAGTTTAGTTATTGAGTCTGTCTGTATATTAAGCCTCAGTAACAGCCCGGAGTTGGGAAGATGGCGGTGTTTCACCCCCGTGCCTTGGAAAGCACGTAAAGCCGTCGGTCCTGCGCCTTAACTCTTACTGGTCGTGTCGAGTGGTCGTCCCACCAGAATATGAGAGTGACAGGAATAGAGAGTGCACTTGTGTCTGCGCGTACACTTGTGCACTATAATATCTCCTGCGCAGTCTCAATGAGATTGGCCGCCGTGGCCGGAATCGGTCAGGAGAACATTAACATCATCACTTTTAACAAATTATCTAAGATAGAACATTGTTTATTTAAAAAGAATATTAAACATCTAAGATTTATTCCTACATTATAAAATATAAATACATATTACTTGTAGTTTTGTAAAACTTAAGTTTTAAATGAATAAATTTAAATTAAATGAATATATATTTATTTATTGGACTACACTGATAATGTAAACATTAAATAATATTAGTACTAGTCTATACTAGTTTATTACATGATGTGTGTGTGTGTGATACTATTATTATATGATCTGTGGTATTAGTAAAAAGGTTAACATTAAATAGAACTAGTATATCTATTTCAATATTAAATATTTCATTTATTTACCTATTTTATTGATAAATCATATTTTATATCAATTAGAATTAATATTTCGTAACATGTCACCTACATTTCCTTCAATGATTCAAACTGTGGAATGTAATGATTTTGCTTTCCTTGAAAGTTGTGCGTGTATACCGTCACATCTCCAAAGAAAACACCTTAGATACAATAAAATATAAAATTAAACTTTAATTTAATTATATACTAGCGAGATACCCCCCCTTCGCTCGTTTCAATAGATAAAAAATAGTTAATATTTTCGGAATAAAACATTAACAAACTTAACTATATTTAAAAAAAATAACCTATATTTTATAAAAATTTAAAAAGGGTTCTTTAAGTACTGGTATCATATAAATAACTTTATGCATTTGCTTGAAAACATAGTTATTTTGAAATCACAGACAGACACAATTTTATTTGTATGTATAGATTTATGCCCTTACGCATGTGTCTTGTCGACTTTCTTAAACATTGTAGTATGTATTTAAAATAAAATTACTAAATAATATTATTATTTAAGTACTTATTAAAAGTTTTCTGTCTTTACGTACAATCGTAACGTAGGGAAACATATTAAGTTTTTTTATGAATAAGTCTGTGAAGCTTTAATGTATATTTGTAGAAAAAAAGAAGAGGTTATATAAATTATTACGAAACTACCAAAATAATATACAGCTATTTTTATCAAAAGACACTTTCATTTACGATCAACGGTGTTTAATGAATCTTGTATCACGATGTTACGGTGTCAGTACCAATGACCCAAAAACAAACATCCATAACGGTAATGTGGGGCAGGGGCATTGACAGCGTTACTCATCCCGGAACACAATTAGCATACTTGTAAGAAAATCTGAATAACTTATTTTGGGGCTCGATTTGGAGAATAAATTTTTGAATTGAAACAAAAAGAAGGGTAATAAGATTTATTATATATTCCATTTAAAAAAAAAAGTATAGTAGGTATTTGTATTACTACAAATACAATCAATTTTGTTTTAATAAAATAGCCTATTCATGTATTCATTGACCAGGCAAATGATAACTTTACGTGACCTATATATTATACAGCTTTATCTAAAAAAAAATTTCATGCACAAGGAATTCGACGTACCTACACAGAAACAATGAATGAAAGGTTTTAAATTATAAGTAAAATTTTAGATATCTATAATAGGAAGTGACTAATGCACGCGATGTGTAGGTAATTTTAATTACCTTTGTCCTCTGTAATATTCCATAATAACAATGAAAAAGATTTTTTTCTGTAGAAGTAATAAACTAATAATGCAAATTGCGCTAATTTAACATAATATTATTTAAAAGTTTAAAACATTAAACCGGAAAGATAAGCGTAGGGTTGTCGCCTTACAATATTTGCAGTATGCACACTAAAAAAATATGCTAGTATTGCCTATTTGATAAATATAGAAATAAAATTATAAATTAATTAATAGTATTAACAACAATAAATTAAACACGAAATAAATCTAAATTTAAAATTAGTAAGTATAAAACTTAAAATATTTTTTCATGTATTTTTTAAAAGATATTAAGAATTTTTATTTTTATTTTTCAGTTATAATACTCGATACTCAATTTTGCTTAAAATAAAGTAATAATATTTTTCGTAAAATCCATACAGTAAAATGTATTTTACATTATATAAGCCACCAACCCTGTATTTCACTTTATGCGTGATTCATTAAAAGAGCTCCAATTTCTTCAGCGTATTTTGGTGCCCGTTGCACGAGACACTCATAAATTCTCAGTATTAAATAATGTTGGTTCCATGCTCGCTACCGTACTTTTCTGACCCTTAAACACTTTTTGCTACATATAAAAAAAAACACATATTCCACGCTTTTATCTCTAAAAATATGATTAGAAATGAATAAAAGGAAAATTAACATCTTTAAATTTTCAATGATATTGACCAATGTTTTATCACATTTTACAGAACATAAATAATGAAAATAATATGTTCCATTGTTCATAGGTATACTCGTAATATCAGAAACCTACTTTTCTTCAAATTGTATGTAAGTATATATTAAGCCCTTTTTAACGTCCCACTGCTAGACACGGGCCTCCCTTCAATACGAGGGGGATTAGGCCATAGTCCACCACGCTGGCCAAGGGCGGGTTTGCGGACTACACATATCTTTCGAAAACTTACTAAGTTCTCTTAGACATGCAGGTTTCCTCACGATGTTTTCCTTCACCGTAAGGCAAGTGGTAATCATATTGGAAATGAAATTATCAGAGGTGCGTGACCCGGGATTTGAACCCGCTTCACTCAGTTTCCCAAGTAAGCACGTTACCACTGGGCTACTGCCTCTTCTTCCAATTAATCGTCGTAAATAAATCATATTATCAATTTCCAACTAAGCAATCGTAATCAACTAGTCTATACTTAATATTATAAAGAGGAAAGATTTGATTTTTTGTATGTTTGTTTGTACTGAGTAGGCTCCGAAACTACTGGACCAATTTGGATGAAATTTGGTAAGAAGATAGTTTGAGACCATGGGAATAACATAGGATAGTTTTATCTTGGAAATCCCTTTTTATCCCTTAAGGGAATTAAAATGGGGATGAAAGTTTGTATGGGGAATCAACCTAACGAACCCGAGCGAAGCGAGGATGAGTCGCTAGACGAAAATAAACCTAATCAAAATAATTTAAAACCAATATAATTAATACCAATATGTATAATAAAAAGATATATCATCATTCTATGAACAATTACGTATTTAATTAATAAAGGCATATTCCATTTCGCTTTTCTACGCATATAATACAGTAAGTCCTTGATATACATACATAATAATATAATAAACGTATATTTAAACTAAGAATAATGTATTGATATTGGAAATAGAGCCAATCATCGCAATATAAAGACTCAAATAAAACATTTTTTTTAATACTGGCAATTCGTCTGGATAATTATGAGATATGTGAGAACTCTATGATTAAATTGTTAATTTGTAATTAATAATTATTTTATAAAATGAGGAAATTATAAATTAATAATAATAAAATCAACACATGTATTTAATTGCGATTCAAATGCTTACAAAATTTTTACTTTTTACACAGGTATTCTGTTCTGAAAAGAAAATGCGACAATGATAAGTCCGCCATTCATTACTTATTCATTTACTATTACAAGCTACTTATACTCTTGCTTCGCTCGGGTGCGCTCCTAAACAAGTAAGTACTTATAGCGTTGCCACAGTTCAATAGAGCAGTAATATATTTATAAATTTATCTTCTTTTTTCACAATTTTTGTTTATATATGAGATCAAAATTTTCCTTGTAAATTCATCACGATTTTGATCTCGTAGGTGATAAATCATGAATTATTTACATATAAAAATTTATAATTTATTACTCCAATAACACATAGCATCTAATCTATTGTATAATATGCAGAAGTGAAATAATTAATTTTTGAGACTAATTAATGTTAATATATGTAGTTTTAGGTACTTCGATTTTTTTTTATTGAAATATGACAAAGTCGGAGAAAGTCTTATTGACACTTTTTACTACATTAACAAAAAGAAAGTGTGCAACAATATTGTCTTAACCTACATTTAAAAAACACAAGTATAATAATGAAGTAAACACTTAGGTACCTATAGATAATTTTTCTTTTTTAGATAAGTGACGATTATTGTGATATGAAACTATACTTACTCACAGAATAAATATTGTATCTAACAATCTTATTTCTTACGAATAATCCTAGTTCTTGAAGAATAATAAAAAAACGCTTGAAATAAAATTTTAAATAAAAAAAAGCGGTTCTCCTTAGTTTTGTTTTTAAAAAATGATTATCTTTTTTAAAACACTACTGATAATTTTCAAGGCTAACGGCGTACGCACGGCTACCTGGGCATGGGATCAAGGTGCTTGATGAATAAAAAAACTAAACAAACCTGGGCCCATACATTGTATGTTCTTTAAGTTTTTTTTAATCTCTACATTGGAGTAGGTACTTGAATTACGAAAAATATGTAGGTACTTAGGTACTCATCTAAACATATAATAAAATTGTAACTAAGCCGAATCTGTACATTATATATTTATTGGAAAATCTTATTGAAATAGACTCATCACATATATTAGCGATACAGAGGTCGAATCTATAGTTTTTAGAATTTTTGTCTGCCTGTCTGTCTGTTACCGCATCACAGAAAAACCACTGGATGGATGAAAAATTACAAAAACTGCAATGTAAGAATATACTAATATGTAAAACCTAAGAATTTGGTTCTTGATCATCTGAACGCGGGCGGAGCCGCGGGCAATGCTAGTACTTAATATAGATAAAATAAATTGTTTCCTCCACCAAATGCTTAAACAAACCGGAATTCTATTATTAAGCCCCATAAGATGTGCTAAGCACATGACAAGAATTGCATTTCTGAATCTTAGCATTCGAATGCAAAAACATTCCGTATGGCGCGCACCCGAATAGCCCTGCTATATTCGTCCACATGTACTTAGAATGTAAATAAGGCCTTGTTTACCATTATCAATACTAATACTATCGTAATAAACAAATATTTCTATATTTCAAAGTTTGAGCACTTGTTGCATTTTAAACAGGCTGCGTTCGTTATGTAACCATTCCAAAATATAACATGCTTAATCATTAAGAAAATATTATAAACTGTTCTGTGCAACAGCTGTCCTATAAAAAATATAGGGCCAATTCTGTCTCCTGTGTCATTTTAATATTCACAGTCCACTATAAGCCTATAAGCCATAGGGTATTTCCCATTAACTAGAATTATGAAATTTGGCAAAAAGCATGGTTTTACAATAAAAGTTAAGGAAATGCCTGAAAATTGTTCATTTGTCCATCATATATTTTTATTCTTATTAAGTTAATCGTAACAATAATGCGAAATAGTGCGAGACTTGTCGGATTTTTTTAACCCCCGACGTAAAAACGACGGGGTATTATAAGTTTGATGTGTCTGAGTGTGTCTGTGTCTGTCTGTGACATCGTAGTTCCCGAACGGATGAAACGATTTAATTTTGTTTTTTTGTTTGTTTGAAAGGTGAATTAGGCGTGAGTGTTCTTAGTTATGTTTGATGAAAATCGGTCCAAGATGGTCGGGGATTTTTAAAATTTTTAATTTAATCTTTATATACACGTGCAATCTGTTGTAAAATAGATGACAACAATAACTTAAAGGTTTTATACCAATTATTCTGTGATGGTATATAACCCATATGACGCTAATTTTAGGTCAAAAGTTAGTCATTTCTATAGCCGCAAACGTAAACCCACTACACGATATATACTTATTGTTTATTAAATTATTACGTCAGTCAGTTAAACTCATAGTTTAATTTAAAAGGAAAACATAATATCGGATTACTGTAACAGTTATTATGTTATATACAAAATAATTAATAATATATTGATGGAATTTAATACAGGCAATGAACCAATAAAGTTCTTAAGTAAAAAACTTTATATCTATGCATTTCATATTGATATATTGTGTAGATATCAATATAAAACGCTTAACATCGTAATTAAATAATTAAATATATTTAACTAACATATCATTAGTGTTAGTTAGTCTCTATAGTTTTTATGAAATCCTGTATTAACAGTTTACAAGTACAATTTGACTTACTGTGCGTGAGAATGCAGCCTTACTAGACTAGCAGTTTCAGCAGCTGGCGCATACCATGGATATAAAATCTGTGCCTGTATTTTGAATATCTACCTACATTTAATTTAAAGAGTATACATAAAATTATGATATCTCTTGACGGCCATATTTAAATATTCAAATATTCTTCAATACTTGTTTCTAGTTAAAAGTATTGTAGCAATACAGGTGTAAGTGTTGTCTTCGTCTATTCTACTCATAAAACTTGTTATATTATTTCGCAGGTAACCAGGTGATGATGAATAGAACTGACTAAAGATTATCGCTAAGGAAAGTCCGGAGCTTTTTTTGTGTTATTTGAACTTACAAAGAAATAGAACGTGCTTCTAAAAATTACAGATTTTAAACAGAATTTTAAGAAATTAAATAAAAACAGCCATTAGAGATTATTTTTATATTTATTTCTACAACACTTTTGTAATTATTGTAATAATAATGGTATTTTTTATTATTTTCTAATAAAAAAATATGAATATACTTATATATGTATTAATTATTATTAGGTGATTCTTTAAATTAACATAACTTTTTATTTATGAACACGCAAAAGCACAGACAAACAGACAAAAATTCTACAAATCATGTTTTGGGTTCTATTGTGTTAATAAAGATCCCCCAATAATTGTTTTTCTCAAATATCTTGCATGTACAGACAGCGATCAGTTGCAATTTTATTATCTCCATTTATAGATTTCCTTGCCTATTTCAGTATCTACCAGTCAATTAAATAATAAATATAATAAATATATGTTGGGACATTAACACACAGCGCCATCTAGTTCCATGATAAGCTACGAGGCTTGTGTTATGGATACCAGATAGTTGATACACTACACATATATAACTTTAAATACATACATATTATAAATATAAAAACCCATGACTAGAGTACAAACATTTGCACTCATCACACAAATGAATGCCCCCAGCGGGCTTGAACCCGCGACCGCTGGCACAGCAAGTAGGGTTACTACAAACTGAGCCAAACGTGTCGTCTAATATTTTACATTTTTCAGATCCGCCAGATAATACAATACATATAATTAAAATATTATCATATTTTAATTTTTAGCTACAATAAGCCCTTCATTATACCAATATTATTATAATGATATAAAGTACCGATTAATTAATTTGATCCTGAGCAACTAAGTAATTAGTCAAATTAGATACTGTTTCATTAGGATCAATATCATTACTATAAACTATTAGAATTTCGTCAACTGAGAAATATGTGCTGAAATCAACAATAATGATTTGTAAAAATAAAAGCGATTATAAATACGATACGGCGGACTTTTCTTGTAAAACCTTTCTGCTTTTGGCGTTAAACAGTCGCGAGCGCGTCTTTGTGCCTTGTGGCCTGGTGCAGTGTCGGCCTACTTCGCTCGTCTCGTCGCGTTGCGTTTCCTTGTCAGTTGCCTCTCGAGTCACGGCAGTTTGAATTTGGCGCGTGAACCGTAGCGGTCAAGCCGCGCGCGCACTCCAATGCCAGCCAGCGGCCCGGCAAACGAATAACTATAAAGTTTTGCCCGTGTTATTTGCTTTTTGTTTGTTTTGGTGCTGTAGTATTCTTTTAGTGGATAAGAAAATAAAAATTTTATTCTACACGTAATAGTGAATTATTAATGAATTAAACTACATACCAGTATTTTGTATTAAATGTGTAAGTGTCGTGATTTTTTGTTATCAACTCGCGGTTATCGTGCGAGCCGTGCGAACTTTTAATAAGCTTTACTTCCTTTGTTTAGGGAAGGCGACGCCTACGCCGATTGTGTGAATGGTAGTGTAGTGGAGTAAAATACTATAAAATATATACAATGGACGTCGAGAGGAAAATAAACTTAGGTGAAGGGGTCCCTCTAAATTCAGCAGGTGGTGCTAATATTTTTTTGAACACTGGTAAAAAAAATGTAAACGACGGGACTGTCATTCATCTGAAAACAGGTGATTTTCAGTTCCAAGTATTCATTTCTTTTTTATTTTAATTAAAACTAATCTAAATTATTTTATTATCTTTTTAGAGAAGCCTACAGACGTCGGTGTACACATTAATACGACCTTCTCTATAGCGTCTTCCAAGAAAATCAAGCTTTTGTTCTTGTTTAATTTTTTGCTCAGTATAATATGCATGGTATTAAGTAGCTCCATCGCATTCTACTACTGGAACGAAATGATTACTATGAGAAAACATATGGATGTCTTAAAGGAACAATTTCTCATACAAACTTTAAAAGATGGTGTTTTAGAACATAAGCCTGAACAGAGTCCACTTGTATCTAATTTAAGGCCTCAGTTGAAGGGGGCTGAGTCTCGTGAGGGTAGGATGGACAGTCAAAAAAATGAACTGTCACCAAATGCGAGAAAATATTATGTGGAAGACCTAGGAGAAGATATGTTACTTGTAGACTCCAGTAAAAAAAATTCTAGTCAAGACAAAGAGCCAGTATATAATATATCAGTCTTCCAAAAAGGTATGTCTCATATTTCTTTTAATGTTACTCCTCCCATTATAATAAGTATCATAACATAATTATAATTATTTCTGTTGCAGAGCCTCTAGTCGTTCAATTTAATGGTGCTATGCGAGAGATTAATATTGGTACAGAATGTAAGTACAAATATTGTATTACAGTATTTTTTTATTTCCTTTTACACACTAACAATGTAAAAATTGTACTAAAATTACACATTTATGATAATTATAAAATTACTTTAAAAATAAACTATATATTTGTTGTATACCATATGAAAACATGCAAGAATGCCGATTAAAATGATAATTTATACCACAGGATATGTGTATGTGGCCTTTATATTATTTGCATTGTGTGTACATTCTATGAATTATTATATTGATAAAATATCAACTCTATAGCAACTCTATAAGGTTTAAATTCAAATGTTACCCATATTACTACTAACTAATACAGCCACATAGTTAAATGCCAGTCTTATATTTATAAGCATTCAGATTAGTAATTAATCTCACTCAGTAATTAAACAGCCAGACATGGTTATATAATTCCTTTTTCAAATACCGTTTCATTCAATGCAAGGAATCATACCAGTAGTAATACATATAACTGCAACTATTATAGTGCATTAGTTACTCAAGATGTTAACATATTTTTATGTAATCATTAATTTATTCATCTTTTTACAAGTATAATATACATTTTTCAAAATTATATACATGAACATAATATGAAAATCATTTAAAACCTTGTTGGTAAAAAAAAATTACCTTACAATAACAAAAAATAAAAACCGACTTCAAACAAAAGCACTAAAAAGTAAAAAATAACTGATTGGTAGTTTTCATTTACTATACATACCTAATCAAATATATTCGAAGTCGGTGTGCTTTGCTTTATATGGCTGGCAGCGATTTCGAAAATATTATTTAATAGGTAGGCTTTAATTACTTAGCCAAAGCACACCGACTTCGAATATATTTGATTAGGTATGTATAGTAAATGAAAACTACCAATCAGTTATTTTTTACTTTTTAGTGCTTTTGTTTGAAGTCGGTTTTTATTTTTTGTTAAAAAGTTTTTATTTTTCCCTTTCTAGAGTATTTTAGAGTAGACAGTAGTAGCAAAGTAAGAATTCAAACGTATTAGGCTTGTCAAATCAAACAGAACAAGCCCAAACTCAAAGTATCTACTATTAGCCGTTGAAAACTTCCACCTATCCACCTTCTGGCACACAATTAGAAGTAGGTTAAATTCATCATTAGCTATTTTTCCACCCTTAGGGGTGGTATTTTTTTTTGAAATTTAAATGGGACCAATCTGGAAGTATACACTTTCAAACAACACAAAAATTGTTCAAATCGGTTAATAAATGACGGAGTTCTGAGGTAACAAACATAAAAAAAAAAAACATACAGTCGAATTGAGAACCTCCTCCTTTTTGAAGTCGGTTGAAAAATATATGTTAGTAGAATAAATTCAATGTTTCAATTTATAATAATAGGAAATTTCTTTTGTTCAATCGTTTGGCATTTGCGACTTTTGATTACATATTTGCTATAATTATTTAAAATTTAAATATACATATAAGTCTAAAAAAATGTTTATAAACAATCTAAAATCTGAATAAGAATACCCATCTGCTTAGATTAAATATTGCAATGGGTATTAAATATGGGATACCTTTTATCTATACATATAATAAAATTCTGAGTTTAATCTGTACATCAAATATTTTTTTTGAAAATCTTATTGAAATAGTCATTATTATCGATACTAAGGCCGAATATATAATTTTTACAATTTTTGTCTGGGAACGCATTCAGGGAAAAACACTAGACAGATTTTGATGAAAATTGATAGCTAGTTATCCGGGTCAACATATTAGGATACTTTTTACTGCAGGAAAATATCTCATCTCTGAGAAATCTATACTAAACGTTAAAACGTAGGAACGAACCTGAGAGGAGCGAGGGTGCGTGCGTGTGTGCTGATGACAAATGAATAAAAATTTAAAGTACACCATTTTCCATGAAAAATATACATGATATCATACATTATTAAGACAGTGGTAGCCCAATGGCGCGCTCTCTTGGCAAACCGAGTGAAGCGGGTTCAAATCCATGGTCTCTCTATAGTAAAACAAGTTTACTTATTAAGCTTAAACTTTTATATCGTTGGTTGTCATGATCATGACTACGCGTACATAACATATTACACCTACATGATGGTGTATGAACACCATACAGCGTGATCCATGCAAACAATTTGACTAGCGAACTTTTATCACTGGATTAAAAACACATAAATTTTAGTACCCATTTTAATGCAATAATTACGCAAACTTTTATCAGATCTTGAAAGAGCCTTTTTTGTTTCTTTAGTCTGTTTGATACAGATTCAGATTGTTTCTTAACTATATTATGATTACCACTCGTCATAAGGTGAAATAAAACATGTTAGAAAATCTGCATGTCTGCTGAATACAATAAAGACAAATAAAAATTGTCAAGTAGTTTCAGTAAAACAACTGACTGAATTTTCATACAAATTATCCATATCATACTTCCAACCGAAATATTCTGGGGATTTCGTTAAGAAAACATAATATATCAGTACCTACTAGCAACTCATCCTCGCTTCGCTCGGGTTCGTCCCTAAGTAGGTTTTAACAATTAGTATGGAATAGGTAGACTATACAATATATGATATCTAATATATAGCCTTACTCAATAAACGGGCTGTCTAATGCAAAAAGAATTTTTCAAATTGGATTAGTAGTTCATGAGATTAGCGCGTTCAAACAAACAAACAAACTGCCTCTTTATTATATTAGTACAGATTATACGCGCGATGCGGGTATTTTGCAATAATTATATCAATTTTATTTTATTTAAATTAATTCTTCTTTAAATATTTTTTTTTATTTATGAACAGAGTGAAATGAAACAAATATAAACTAAATGTTACGTGAAGCTTATCACAATGCATGATTGAAAACCATACCTAAATCAGTTTAGCCGTTTCTGAGATTAGCGCGCACGAACGCACAGATAAACATACAAAAATTCTAAAAATCATTGTTTTGGGTTCTATTGCGCTAACAAAGACCCCCAATAATAGTTTTTCTCAAATATCTTCCATGTACAGACAGAGATCCGTTACACTTCTAATATATGTATATAGATAAGTTGTGTGCGACCATTGCTCACAATTACACTACTTCATAATAATCAACACTTAGCGTTTAAGATTTTTGATTTGTTGAATTATGATGCTATATAACTGAAGAATATCAGAACATTGCACAAAGGAATTAATCATTGAATAAACACTTAAAGTCTGAGTATACTTAATACTTATAACACTCTATTTTATAAATTACTGTCCAGTCATAATATAATAGTGAACGCTAATAATAATTTCAATATTAAAAAAAACTACTTCAATTTATATATATATATATATATATATATATATATACACACACACACACACACACACACACCTCTTAGTCTTGTCTAAATGAAAACTTTAGTAATTAGTCTTCAATTATAGTTGTTCATAAATTGATTATATTCCTTACTAGCATTGCCCGCGGCTCTGCCCGCGTTCAGATGACCAAAAATCAAACTTAGGTTTTACATATTAGTATACACTTGCATTTCAGTTTTTGTATTTTTTCTCAGAAATGAGATATTTTCCGGCGGTAAAAAGTATCCTATATGTTGACCCTGATAACCAGCTATCATCATACCAAATTTCATCAAAATCTCTCCATTGGTTTTTCCGTGATGCGGTAACAGACAGACAGACAAAAATTCTAAAAACTATCGAATAATTATCGAATAATGTCTATTGCAATCAGGTTTTCCAAAAAATATTTAATGTACAGATTCGGCTTAGTAATTTTATTATATGTATGGATATTCCTTATTGACCTTATATTTATTACTTATAATGAACAGTACGATGACGATGAAAATGTTAGTATTACGGTTAGTTTCTGTTCTCATTAACAATCTACCACAGCCGACCCAAATTATGGATACAAGACGTTAATTCCTGCGTCCACTACAATATATATTTTTTATTTTACTCTATATGTATTCGTATTGTGAACTTCGTATACGATCTTCACTTCATATTGTAACCCCCAATAATCGAATACCTATAATTGTAAAATTTTAATAAATTTTTAGTTGAACTTGATTTTTACAAAAAAAATATATATTTTTGCGAATTAGTCGCGAGAGAAAACTTTTAACATTTTAAAAGTTATTATTGTTATTATTATTAGTTAAAAAATAATTGATAGTTCTATCCCACTAGGATTTATTTCCTTATGATTTTATACTACTACTTCGTATAGCACTATAATGGGATTATTAATATTCCCTCCACGACCGCGGACACGCCGGCGTGTCAGTTAACAATAGATTTCTTAGAGTTTTAATTAATTTCTTAGTAATTTACCTGGAGGTGATTTTAGTAGCAACTTACCCTTGCTTCGCTCGGGTGCGTCCGAAAAGGTACGACTACACACAATTTCTTGGGTTTTAATTTTATTGCGCGGAACCCTGATTCTTTTTCCAAAATAAAAGTAGCTAAAGTTACTCCTTAGAATATCAGCTATCTGCCAGTGAAAGTCCCTAGTCACCCCTATATACTTTTATACGCATTTAGTATAAAGCTGTTATTTTAAAATTACAAACAAACACTTCAATTTTATTTATCTGAACAGAAAATGCGAATGTTTGGATGGTTAGATGTTTGTTACTCAATCACGTCTGAACGGCTAAACGGATCTGAATGAAATTTGGCACAGAGATATATTATAGTCTGGAATAGCACAAAGGCTACTTTTTATCCCGGAGAAATCTACGGTTCCCGTGAGATAAATTTGTTTTTATTATTGATTTTTATAATATTTTCGAAATGTTAAATCACATATAACATTTCAGTGGCAAAATGGTTAAAAAAAAGTTTTGTTATAAAAAAAATATACTATATTTACTATTATTTCTTTATTTACAGCAATTATCGGACCGTGGGTGCGGGACATGGAAGTGTCGACGAAAAACAGTGAATCCAAGATTGAGTTGAACACTAATTATTTTACTGTGAAAGAGAGCGGACTGTACCTACTTTATGCTCAAGTAAGTATAGTTTTTTTATTAATAATTGAATTAAAAGACTCTCCTTGTAAAGTATTTTTTATCTCTAACAATATAGCTTATGATTATTTATGTTTATATTATGATTAGTATACTTGAGATTATATTGCTATTCGTTTATCTATTGCTAGTAAACAAATCTCTATACATATTAAAAGCTCCTACTCTACAGACAAGCCACTATAATGTTTAGGGGAAGCCCCATTTTGAATCTATTGGTATAAGGCTGACCGCACACACGCAATTAAACACGACCACGGACACCGGAATCCAACTATTTACATTGTGTTATACTTAATTATTATACAATTATACATTTATTAATGTCATTGTATATATTTTTACACTATTAAAATGTTTAGGTAGTGTTCTTGAATAATTAGTATAAAGTAACTTATAGCATTGTCAGTTATATTTCATGTGTGCGGCTAGGCCTAATATATCATATCGTATGGCGGCTTCCCATGAAATTCTTTCGTCTTAACGAGAATAATATGATAAGCAAGTACAGTCAAAACAAACATCAACAACTTCCGGCGCATCTTGAGTACGAAACAGTCTTGTTGTTAAATAGTTTTATATATCGTACTAGCGACTCAACCTCAAAAACTATAGATTCGGCCTCTGTATCGGTAATAATGACTATTTCAATAAGACTTTCCAAAAAATATTTAATGTACAGATTCGACTCAGATTTTTTTTTATATGTATCTTGATTAGAAAAGTCTTTTATTTTTTACTTATTTTGCATAAAGTGAATCCTGTTATTATTCAATTTTCCGCTAACTAAATTATAATATATAGAGATAGTAATAGTTTTCTTTTCTCTTAATAAAATTTACTCATTCATACTGAAAACCTTTTCGCTGTTGTACCGAAGAAAATACATTACGCCAAATTGAATTTAAAGATTGTTTTCCATATTTAACTATCACAATTCAAAATATCAAGATTAAAAAGTACTACTCTTTTATTCTTCAATATGTTGTCCTTTTTAACGTCCCTCTGCTGACCTCCCAATATGAGATTCAGGCCATAGTCCACCACACTGCCCAAGTGCAGGTTGGCGGACTTCACATGTCTAATTTGAAAACTTGCTAAGTTGTCTCAGACATGCAGGTTTGATCACGATGTTTTCCTTCACCGTAAGACAAGTATTAGGTAATAATATTGAAAGTGATTGAGAGACATGAAAATATCAGAGGTGCGAGACCCGGGATTTGAACCCGTTATGTTTTACTCGGCTCTCAAGCGAGCGTGTTACCACTGAGCTTACCACATCTTTGCTACTAATATTTTAGTAATATATTTAAAAAAATAATATTGTTTGTTTTCAGGTGGTATATTTAACACATGCTCCTAACTGTTACTTCATTTGGGCGAGACAGCCAGCAAAAGGTCCTCGTCTTCTATCTACTTGTGCCACCGGAGATGATTCAAGTCCTAGACCATTAGACAGATCACAAATCTCGTGCTCAGTACAAACTGTTGCCAAACTCTACAAAGGAGACACAGTCAATATCGCTCAACGGGAACAAAACAGGACATTATGGCTCCGACCTGGATACACATATATTGGATTCGTGAAACTTAGTTCCTAGCAAGCTTATGACTCATATTGTTTATGAATCCTGTGAATTTGTGATGGCCTCCTTGGTTTGATTCTTTAAAAATGTAGACAAATTTTGTGTAAGTGATGTCATTTGAAATGACTAAATACTTTACTTTCTTATGTATTATTGATATTATGAATGTTATAAATCTTTCTTTTTGTGGGGCTGAAAAAGCGATTATTTGAATACCATTTTTTAATTTAGATTAAGGTAAGCCGAAAGTGCCATATAAAGAAATTCTTATACATAATTCGCCCTTATGAATTATGAAAGTTTTGTGAGAGTAATTTGTCTTTTAGTTATATACTTTATTTCGTTTTTAACTCATCAGCCCGTTTTTGAGGACAGGGATAGCCCATGTGAAAATTATTTTGTTGCCATAAGTAAAAATAAGTGTAAGCCATTTATTAGTAAGGATATTAATACAAATAATTCAACGTAAAATACTTTATCCAGTAGTCCTTATAAGTTGACAATGTGTATAAATAAAAAAGATAAAACTAATGAGTCATGTGCACATAGAACAATACTACTTACTTACTTACATGGAATGCAATAACAGTTCATTTAAATATATATATATATATATATATATATATATATATATATATATATATATATATATATATATATATATATATATGACTTGATTGATGATGACTGTATATCAATATAATATTCATATATAGTTATTATATCCCACCAATGAATACTAACTTTTGATGACACGTTTGACTCAGTTTGTAGTGTCTCTACTAGCTGTCGCGGGTTCGCGTCCCGCTGGGGGCATTCATTTGTGTAACGAGCATGAATGTTTGTACTCCAGTCATGGGTGTTTATATTTATAATTATATATGTATTTAAAGTTATATATATGTAGTGTATCCATAACACAGGCCTCGTAGCTCACCATGGAACTAGATGGTGCTGTGTGTTAATATCCCTACATATAAAAAAATAACTTTTAATTACTAAAGTGAATATTGAAAGAAAAACATTACTTTGTTGTAAACTATTCGTAATAACTATTAAAGTAGAATTTATTTTAAGCAATGCATTATTACAAATAATATAAATATAAGGAAAGCTGTAGCAACTATTTGAAAGTTAACATTTACACTTATAGTATAATTAGGGTATTTTATAATGATCTCTTATTGGTCGAAGGATCCCACATTTTTTACCAAAATATTTTGTAAGTTGGATTCAATTCGGTATTTAGCTTCTATTAAATATAAAATGTACATGTTTTGTTCTCTTAAAATATTTAATATTCAACATTAGGTACTTATTTCTACTTAATTTTGCTCAAAAAGCATTTATTAGCACTTACTTGAATATATATTATTCAAAAATGCTATAGTCTAATTGAATGAAGTTTATTTTGTTTCATTGTTATCATTGTAGCTGCCATAAATGTGATTATGTTTTTTTTTTCGATTTTGTCTGGTGTGTCCATATTTATATACGTAGGTGTAACTTAACAGTAAGTATACTTAAAATATAGTCAATAAGCAACTTATGATTTGGATATTATCTAGAAATAGTTATATGTATAAAAACAATGGTGCTTAGAATGTGTTAATTTTGTATTTTCACAATATGTAAGTAAAATATTCAATAATTCAGAATTCCACTAGTATTTGGAAGAACAAAGTTAATTAGTTATTACTGAAAACAACTTCTACATGAAATGTAGCATTTTGTTAGTTTGTTATATTGGGTTGTAAATGTTTAGTACATTGCAAATTGTATGAAAGATTGATCTAAGTATGACATCTAAATATAAATATTAGGACTCTTTTGTATTATCAAGAGATCTTTTGGTTCAATATAATTTGTAATAAATAATGATTTTTTTTTATTATCCCAGCCTTACGCCTAAATATATTGTGCATTCTGCATACATTATTTACAGGTACAAACATACATTAGAGTAAATGATCCGTTTATCTTAAAATCCAGTGCAATTATAATTAGTAGTTTATCTTGTTTTTGATTTATTTGATATTTTCTGTTATACATATGAATATTTAAATTATTTCATTTATATCCGTCCATCATTCATAAATCAACCAAAATAACATCGCGTCTTATTCCGTGCATCAGAGTTGCCAGTTTAAGGGGAATTTCAATCCGACTGGGTAATCTGTGAGGTGGGCGTTGATACAGGGAAAATGCGGGAAATTCAGGCATTTCCAATTATATTTATGAGTTTATTTAAACAACACGTCGAGGCTATAACAAAAGGCTCAAAAGGGAGGACATAATCGGTGGCGACTAAGTCCATTGGAAATAAATGAGTAGATGTTCTCAGTGGAGAGCACACTCGACAGACAAGTACCCTCGCAAAATCTGCTTATAGTTAAACTGATTGCAGATAGTAAAAAAATATATACAACAACATTGAAGGCATTTGCAATTGTTTGATATTTATGAGTTTATTTTATGGCAACATTGATGCCACTAGATATCGGAGACACCCCGTACACTAAGAGCTAACATGAAAGGAAGTACAGTAGAGAAGACTCGATTATCCGGCCCTCAGTTATACGGATTCGCCATTATCCGGACTACCCACGGCGATCAAATAACTTCGGAACTGGCGAACTGTTATAGTTACCATTTACCAATGCTTAAATAAATGTTGATTTGTCTTTAGTTGATTTAAATTAAACACCAACATTAGGTATTACGTTTACGTAATATGTACGAAAACAGTTTTTTTCATACATTTGATTATCCGAATGCCTACCGACAACAATTAGTTCGGATAATCGAGTTTCCACTGTATTACAAAGAACAATACAAGTCATACTTGAGATAAAACAAGACTTTCAAGATTTTCAGGTAATTTAGAAAGTATACATTGGCATCACTGCCGTACAAGCATTTCTTAAGAGTAGATTAAAACGTAGAGGTGGAGTATACGTCTAAAGCACAACAGCCGAAATATTTAAACTGTTTTGACGTCAAAAACTATGTAATTTTCGTAATGGAATGGTAGGAGATGGGAAATCCCTATCGTCAAAGTTTGAATTCTTGACTAGAATAATCTGTTTATTCCCCTCATCTGTCGCTTAATTTGCGTAATATTGAATGTCTACTAACATTCCCTCCAACAGCTTCATAGAAAGCCAAAAAATCCAAGCGGAAAGCTTAAAGTCTAAGCAGTAAGGAGCAAATATATCCTCATGAATAAGATACATAAAATTCTTGCAAACTATCCCACTGTATTATCTGTAGTATCACTCTTGTTCACTAAGATTGACCGTCTCTTATGTTGTACGCCCCTGCTAAAAAAAGACGAAACTAAATTAAAAATAACCTTTTCTAAGAATGATGGAAAAATAGAAAAAAATGTGAATAATGGTCATCTTATTGCTTTAGCCCACAATTTCTTCAGTTTATGTCTTTTGGGAACAAAGATATTCATTTTCTTTGTATCCTGGCACTTCACAATTTGTCTTTTTAATTAAATTTTAAATATAATGAAAAAAATCCATCCACGCTATAAAGCTTTACAATATACTGAGGGCCATAGTGATCGTAGCATCTGACGGCAGAAAAAGGCAAAATTCTTTCCCATTTTAGTGGTCGCGTGCCTAAAAAAATAATGTCAAATTGACAGACAAAATGTAGTGACATAAGACATTATACATTTGTCATTCATGCATTTGACAATTGACATTATTGTCAAATAAAGATAAACTCTCTCTTTTACTGTGAAGAACTATAAAGTTACACTTACTAAATTATTTACTGAGATTGATAATACATAATGCTTTCCAGGTACTTATTATTTGACATTGTGGATTCTTTGCCTTTTAAATTTGCAGCATGTAACACTTATTTTTATTAAATATATTTTCAGGTTAAGAATTAAGCGCGATTTTAAATATTTTATTAGATGTCTATCAGAAAAACCCCCAGACCATGATACTAAGATCCCAGAAATTAAAAGTAAGGAACAGAAACAAGAAGATTCAAAATCTGAATCAAGCACTGAAAAGATTCAAGCTCTCTTAAAAAGTATGTTAGCTGAACCTAAAATAACTGAGAGCGAATACAGAAAAAAGTTTACTACAGCACCTGATAGACCAAAGAAACCAAAACGAGATGTAGTAGAAGTAAAAATGGCAAAAATAGGTTTGCTTTGTCTTATAGTTAAATAATGATTTCTTCAATTTATTAAAATAAAACATTTATATTATTACCCTACAATAATAGTGATAGGGTAATATATTATAACATAAATGTTTTAATAGAAAATAATACTTTTCAGAGGAAAATATCACAAAGGCAGCGAGTGAGGTGGCAGAGGCTATAGGTGGAAATATTAAGCAAACAGAAGCAGAACTTTTGTCTAAAGTTTTAGGCAAAATTAATCAAACTTCTACATCTCTCAGGTATTCTATTTTACTTTTCTTAAAAGAATATGCACCAAAATTAGTTTGAAAATAAATGTAATTGTATAAATGTGTTCACTATAAATCCATATACATATTTCTATAATGAAACAAACTATTAAATAAATATTATTTTCGTTCATTTAAATTTGACTGTATATTACAGTGACCTAATAGTAGGAATGAAAGTGGATAGGACAAAGGACACTGAAGAATCCCCTAGAGAGACTAGAGGTCAACAGGTAAAGCGAATGATGAGCATATCTAAACAAGATCCCGAGAAGACTAGGTACAGCCAAAGGAAGCAACAGACTACGGAAAAGAAAAGAAGGTATTTATTTATAATAAATAAACCTTTTATTTTAAAGATATTATTTCTGTATAATATAATTCTTTTATATTGGGATCTTGTGTCAACATTTCTTTTAATACAAAAAATTTAGTAAAATTAAAAGTATAACAGTCTTTTGTTGATGCTTATGATGTTCAATTGACCCTACAAAATAACCAATAAAGATAATTATTTCAGAGTGGCAATAAAATTCTCGTTTCTCGGTCTAGAGTCTAGACTCTAACTCAATAACATATTTTAATATAAACATAGCATTGCAAGAATAAGTGCATATAATTAAATATATTTTCCTTTTTCCTTACAGCTTAACTCAAGCAACAACAGTCAATGTATTTAGTGGGCAACCACTTGGCATATTCCAAGCTAAAGAAACAAACTATGGGACAAAGCTTGATGTGTGGGAGCATCTTAGCCAGAGAGAAGTAACATTAGCTACTTCTCAACCACCTGCTAATTATTTCCAAAAAATGATTCTCTGGACGGAACAAGGCAAGGTGTGGAAGTTCCCAATCGATAATGAACAGGGTAAGTTATATTTCTACATTATGAAGTTTTTGAAAATTTTAAAAGTTCATTTTAAGTTTGTTTATTTTTTCTATTTTTGAATAATATGATCACTAAAAATAAAATGTATTGTAAAATAAAATGATCTTTTATGATCCATATTTTAATAGTAAGAAAAATCTATTAGCTGCACTGAAACATTATTAGAAAAAATAATATCCTCCAATGTATCCTAACTGATTTTAAAAGCAAAACTACTAAAAAATACCATTTTTACTATATGTATATTATAATAGTATTAAACATAACACAAAAATACCTACCTAGTAGTACCTATAGGTACTTTTTATGCATGTTTTAAGAATTTTTTGTGCATATTTGCACTGTTATATTATGTTGTATTTAATTCTGTCTACTAATCACTCATCACATTGTAATCAAACTAAATTAAGAACTACATACTATGTATACATATATCTATAATGACCTATACAGATAAATTAAAGTGTCTGTTTATAATGTCGAAATTACAACTTCTTACTAAATGCATATGAAAGTATATATGGTACTTATAAGAAAAAAACAATTTTCGTCTTTCTGTCTGTTTGTTCCGGCTAATCTCCGAAACGGCTAAACCGATTTTGACGGGACTTTCACTGGCAAATAGATGTTATAAGGAGTAACTTAGTCTACTTTTATTTTAGAAAAAGAATTAGTGTTCTGCTCAAAAAAATAAAAATATATCGATAGTTTTCAATATATGTTTACTAACAATATATAACTGGTCTATTAGCAATATATTTATTATTTATTCATTTTTTTTCAATTTTTTAGGGATAGAAGAGGAACAAAATGTTCACTTCTCAGAACACATCTTCCTAGACTCCCACTTAGAAGGTTGGTGTCCAACCAAAGGGCCAATTCGACACTTCATGGAGCTTGTATGTGTTGGACTTTCCAAAAATGCTTTTTACACTGTGAAGGAAAAACAAGACCATATCATGTGGTATAAAGAATATTTCGAATCTAAGAAGGACCTTCTCAAGGAAATAGGTGTGTGGGAAATACAATCAAATGAGGGAAAAAATGAAATTTCACCATAAAGCCTATATTGTATTGCTATAATTTAGTTCATAGATTATAAATAAACTTGTGTTAAAAAACAGATAACCAATTTCCTTTGTGTCTTCTATATTTTATGTGACATTGACGATGTAATCTGTGCTCAACTGGCATACTTTGAAGCCATTAAAAAGAAAATTGAATTAAATTGAAATTCCGGATAAGTGCGAGTCGGACTCGCCCACCGAGGGTTCCGTACAAAGTAGGAAATCTGTTTAACTTTAATTTTCAACTTTTTTTTATTTTTTGGAATTTTTCGTTTATTTGTGCGGTCTTACAGCCTTTTGCCAAATTTCGTGATTCAAGGCCAACGGGAACTACCATATAGGTTTTCGACTCAAAACCTTAATAGGGTACTTCCGGTTGACCTAGAATTGTCAATTTTGGTTGCTGTTCTATAGTTTGTATATAATATCGTGTTATAAATATTTTCATATTGTAATAAAATTGATAAGAACATCTTATAATACTTTTAGATTTACGCGAATACTAGACATTTTAAATAAAACTATCTTTTCGGGTTATTTCGCGGATTTATATTGATTTTTGGTTCCTTGGTTTTTTGGTTTGGTTTGCCTGTCACAAGTATATAACGCCTTTGAGACGTCTAAAACCTTAAGTCTTTCCCGTCACCATGATTGCTGTAAATCATTCGAAACGTCGGGAACCAAAAATCAAAATAAATCCGCGTTATGATCCAAAACGATAAGTTTTGTTTAAGAAGATCTTATTACAAAACCATCCATTCAATGTCTGTTTTTGCATATTATTATGGTTCTTTAGAAACTTCTGTGCACTTGTCTATGGGCAATAATACGTTTCCTGATTTATTATGGCACATATTAATAGTATTTTCATATGATTTCTATTTCCTAACCTATAGGAATCCCCATTTGAATGAATATAAAGTAATTTATGCCATTTTCTTTCTACATTCTTTGTGCTAAATTACAGTGAGTATACAATGTCTAATTAAGGATTTGGGTTATAAAGAGGTGTATAAAAATTGGACAAACACTTTTTTTTCACAGAATGCTACTAATGTTATAAATGGGAAAGTTTGTCAAGATGGATGGATGTTTGTTACTCTTTCACACCAGAATGACTGTACAAATCTGGGTGAAATGTGGCACAGAGATAGATTATAGTCTGGAATATCACATAGGTTACTTTTTATCCCCAAAAATTTGAGGTTCGTGTGGGATATTTTGTTTTTGTCTAGGGACGAGCCCGAAACGAAGTGAGGGTGAGTCGCTAGTATATACTCTGTAAAAGCAAAATATAAGATCTAGTTTATGAAGCGTAATAAAATACCAAATTCTAATTACTTCACTTTATTGCACCTATGGAAGTACACTTTTTATCTTAATTTCGATGTTAAAAATCACCATTGTTAATAACATTACTTTTTCTAATTTAAAAGAGGAATACAAAATTTAATGTATTTAAAGTATTCATTCGATTACCGATTACATGATGTTATTTATTTATTACAAATTATTATCAATCATTTTAGAAACACCAAAAGACCAATTTTAAAGAAAGCATCAAAATACATAATATATATTTAACAACGATAAACTGATGACAATATTACAGTGTTACATGAGTAGAAGTACCCAAATAGCATTTAAGTCTTAAAAAAAACAAGGAACTTATTACGTCTAAGTACATATTCTTATATTATTCGTCGTATACTTTAAAAGCCTCCAAAACATATCCAAATAAAAGTACAAAATACAGTACTTACAAAAAAATATGACGTCAATTTATACAAAATACAAATTACTTGGCTGTATGTACATTTACCATATCAATTTTGTTTGATGTCAAATTAAAAAGAAGTGGCAAGGCTCATCAAAAACACTAACGTAGGAAGGTCTCAATATTTGATCTATTAACTATCATAAATTATAAAAGCATCGCATTAACAGCTAACTAGGGATGCATCCGATATCGATTATTAGTTTATCGATACATTTAAAAAAAATTAAGGATGTTGTGTTTTCTGAATAAAAATCACATAAAGGTGGATTCTAAATATTACTTTCTAATCTGAACTATATATTAGGTATATTGATATTTTGTTAAATTACAATTTCCAAATGGTAGTTAACATTCTAAATAAATATTACTTATGTAAGTGTAATGCCATTTCTTTCTTTGTTTTCTATTCTAAACCCGCGGTTTTTTACTTTTTATACCTTTACAAACTATATTGTCCGCATCGGTATCGGTATCGGCAGAAGTGTGTATCGACGCATCCCTACAACATATAGAGTAGCTAACATTTATAAAATAAAGTACTAAATAAAATATTGTCTTGAGTATTATAGTTGTTGTGCTCTGAGTACGCGGACGTTTTATAATTATGATATATGAAAAAGAAGCCAAGGAGGGTTGACGTCAGACAGGCGGCCGGTCGTAAAACTTGCCAAATCCTATCAGCAGTACCTACAGAAGATGTACTGCGCCGACCCCAAGTGATTGGGAAATGAGCAGAGATGATATGAAAAAAAAATCTCGTAAACATTCCATTAAATATTGAGTAATAGAAATTATGAAACGGAATTAGCAGAGAAATACTCGAAAATAGAACATATCAACAAAGTCGTCTTAACTATAAACGTAACTAGTAAGTAGTTTAGGAAGACGAAGGAAGCAAGTCTTTGAGACAATTCGAATTACACATGGAAAAAATTTTTAGAAGCTAAATCAATAAAAATGCCGTGTCCATAGAAAATATTACACAAAATAGTTAATTAATATAGTAAAAATCAAAAATGGCATAAAACTATAACAATTATTAACATTTCATTTAACTTATTAATTATTCAAAGGTATGCGAGGGACGTTATTGAAATTAGCAGTAGAAATTACAAGTAAAATATTTCTCATACTACTTATAAGAATGAATTCTCTCTATAATACAGTGCACGAATTCCCAACCAGGGGGGCGTAGTTTATTTAATTAACAAAAAAAAGGGGGGGGGGGGGGGGTGTAGAGGCATAAAATTATTTTGGCTCAGCTTTAGTATACCGGTTCACCAGTAGACTCTTTGATTTTTTTTGTGCAAAGTCCTTATTATCTTGAGTAATCCCACAAAGTTTCAAGTGGAGGAAACAAATACTTTCGGAAATAAAAATATCAAAGTTAGATAGATAAACATAACCTCAATTCTGCACTATTTTATTGTTTTGACGTAATTTTGTCAGAAGTGTTGCTATTTTAGGGAGTTTTAATTATGCGTTTTAATTTTGCAAATAATAAGTTGACGTGATTTTAATATTTATTTGAAAATTAACATTATTTTATTACGCATGCAGTTTAGTGTTAAGTTAGGTGCGAACTTAGGTAATTGTCGTCAAATCTTAGTTAGGTTAAAACAACGCACGAGCGAGCCGAGCGAGCGAAGCGAGCGTGCCGCGGTAGCGGCCGACGAGTGCCATAAACTCTAAATTTCACGCAATATCGAAGTAAAGACTCAACAAAACATAACCTCAAAATGAGATTTTAAAAGAAATATATATAAAAAAATCATTTCCTCCACTTTTCCTTTGCGGAGGGGTGATCTACACCCTCCACCCTACCGCTCTCACCCCCAAATATATACACATGCTGCCACCCTTATTCTAAAGTCCTTCCAATATTTTTTTTTATAATTCATGGAGGCTCAACAGAAGAAAGGTTGGGAAACCATGCTAAAGTGGAATTTTAAAATCATGGTATATTTACTTAATAGAAATTATCCAAATTAGTCACAATGTTACTGGAATGTACTGGCTTACGCTAGAGACCTAAATTAGCAAGTATGTATCAAATGTGTCCGTACAGTTATTACAATAATTTTCAAATTTTTTTGAAACCAAAATTGATTAGAGATTTAAGATTGATTCACTAATATTGTTAGTTTTATATGGGACATCCGTTAATTATGTGAGCTGCTTTTCTTATAATTTGGACCCCTCCCTCCCCGTTGGTGAGATTTGGTGGTCATCCTCCCCTCCTCCTCTCCCCCACGTGAGATTTAAGCTATAATTCTTAAAAATAATACAATGTTCAACAACACACATATAAGGGAAACGAAAGAAAAATTAAAGATTTTTTTATTACCTGTATAATATTTATATTCTTTTAAGTTGATGTGAGATTTTCAATTATGACTTCCTCAGTTTAAATGAGATTTTACTAAATCCATTCCCCCATTTTAAGCTCACGTAATTAATTGATGTCCCTATATCCAAAACATGAAGTTGAAAACGAAAAATAATATGTATGACAATCTCACGAGAACTATGTATTGTGTAAAATATTTATAGATTATTATTATTTAAATTTAAAATTGTGATGCTTTGTTTCTATCTTTTGATTAAATCAAGTTCTTTATTGATTGATGTTTATAACTCACAAATTGATTACTACTTAAGTTTTGGACTGTGTGATGGGATATTATTGGAGTTTTTCAACAGGGATTGTACAATGCGTTACACATTATATTTATTATTATGTAATAATATCAGTATTTCTTGCAATTCCTATTAGAAAAGTTGGAATGTAATGAACAGATTCAAAATAAAAAAAAAGTAACAATCTAATTAATTCTTAATTTAACGGACCGTATTATATAAAATGGGTGTTTATTTTTCTTAGCAAAATTGTCGCAATCAATTTTAGTCACCATTTAGAAAACATTCGTATTTCACATTAACATTATATGTATATAAAACAAAAAAATCCAAAACGGCACTTTTAAATGTTTAAAACTTTAAAGGATTCCATAATTAAATATTGTGGTGCATACATAATAGATAAAGTACAGTACAGAGTTATAACGAAGGGAGGAGGCTAGCGTTGGTATTGTCACATTAGAACATTGACGCAATTGACATCGCTGTGGACGGCTCGGGCGGCGGCGGCGCCGGCTTACATCACCTGCGACCAAACACAATGTTAGATATAATAAATAAATATGTTGGAAAATTAACACACAACACCATCTAGTTCCATGGTAAGCTGCGAGGTTTGTGTTATGGATACCAGATAGTTGATACACGTATAAAACTTTTAATACATACATATTATAAATATAGGGACGGACCCATTACTGGAGTACAAATATTATTATATGCTAAATTTCATCCATATTGTAAATAGGTCATCTAATTTAACAACTGTTTTATATTATATCCAACCATAAGGCGATGAGGTGGCCACAGTTATCCTCGATGCAGCACTAACATTAAAATAATACAAAAATCAAAACAAAAGCAACAACAGTGTTACCTGTAGTATCTGGCTGGCCTCGAAGGCGGTGCCGGGCAGCAGCACGATGGGCGCGGCCACGCGGCCCGCCTCCACGCACACCATGTTGGGGAACTCGTCGTCCCCGAAGTCAGGGATCTCCTTCGCGAACTCCGACCACGGGTTCCAGATCACTGGACACACAGAGGTCAAACAAATTTATATTAAACACCAGCGACTCACCCTCGCTTCGCTCGGGTTCGTCCCTAGGCACGTTTTGCTTTTTTTGAGCAGAACCCTAATTCTTTTTCTAAAATAAAAGTAGCCTATGTTACTCCCTATAACATCAGCTATCTTAGTGAAAGTCCGGAACAAACGGACAGACAGAAAATAATAATTAAAAAATGTGTTTTTCTTATAAGTACCGTATATAATTTTATATGCATTTAGTAAAACGCAGTTATTTTGAAATTACAAACAGACACTTCAATTTTATTTATATGTATAGAATATAGATTTTAAATAAAACTATCTTTTCGGATTATTTCGCGGATTTATTATAATTTTTCGTTTCCGACGTTTCGAATGCTTTACAGCAATTATAGTCACGGGAGAGACTAAGTATATTCCCTAGATACCTAACAGTAGACCATATGTTTTAGGTAAGGGAAGAAAGTTTTAGGCAAGCTTGAACTTTAACTAGAACTAAAATGATATTATAATATTTCGCACGAATTCATTCCTCATTATATGATCTATCTGTGTACCAAGTGTACTGTATATCATTCCAATTCCATCTTCATTAAGATTTACATTACAATTTAACATTTTACATTTATTATTAACTAGCTGACCCGTCAGATCTCGATCTGTCAAAGTCAAGTGTGTAGCAGGCCTGATTAGAAATGGTATTTTTACGCCTTTCCGGGCAATTTTCCAATTTTATCTTTTCATAAGAAATAAAAACCCTCCTCGGACTTTAGCGAATATTTGAACTAAAAAAAACCGTATTGGCCCAGTTGTCTGAGTTTCGCGCTTAGCAACACATTTAGCGATGAATTTTTATTAATATAGATAGATAATTGATTCGATATACAAAATTTTATCTCCATTTTCACCTCCTTAAGGGATTATTTCCGAGATAAAAAGTATCCTATGTCCTTCCCAGGGTCTCAAACTATCTTCTTACCAAATTTCATCTAAATCGGTTCAGTAGATCCAGAGATTACCTACCCCCTACATGTCACAAACTCACAACCTCACAAACTTTACCTATTTATAATTTTAGTATAGATTAAGGCATGTCTCACCGGTATCTGGGAAATTGTACTTCTGTATCCTCATCTTGCGGCCGCTCACCACGTTGGTGATGATGTGCTCCTGCATGGTGTTCTGGTAGATGCGATCCGTCCACTCGTTGATGCTCACCACCTCGCGCGTCTCTTGGTACACTGCGCCTTCTCGTGTCTGTATCACATAAGAAGATATAAGTATCGTAAGGGAGTATGTAACACCTCCAACTTACGAATCCTAGGTTACTAATGAGATTTTTTAAACAGAATAGCCCATTAACTACATTTGGTCTAGTCCGGGACTCAAACCCAGTACATTCAGATTAGCATAAACATTATTTTTCATTAAAAAGTCGTCACATCACTTGACTTCTAGCGAAAATGTCACACAAAAAAACAAAAACATACGCCCGACTTAAGTACCTTTCTCCATATTTTAAGTAAGTCGATAAAACTGACTTTCACATACAACTAAGTAATGAAAATATTCTATACTAAAACCGCAGTTTAAAAGTGCATACAGTAAACGATCATCTTCTAGGCTCATTGTTATGTCGAACGGTTTCGAAGTTAAAGCACTACAGTGCCATCTCGTTGCAAGTTACAGTTATACCCGTCCACCGTTTCCCGAATGTCATATAGAATGTAAGTATGAGAAAATATATGAAAAATTTCAGTATAATATTAACGTTAATATCGCGTCATCCGCATCTTATCTCGCACGGCTCGCAAGATTGCCTTGTTTTTCCTTGAAAACTTGCTATATTATTTCTGCCAGTTGCAGGTACATTTCCCTCAGAATATTTTCCTTTACCGTAAAACAAGTGATCATCATGTAGTAAAGATTCGAACATAGAAATATCAGAACTGCGATATCCGGGATTGAAACCCACTTCACTTGGTCTCCCAAGCGCGTTGTCATCGGGCTATCACTGCCTTTTGGTACTTGAACTACTAGACTGTGCTTAGACTATAAAGAGGAAAGGTTTGTTTGTTTGTGCCGTACCTTATCAATGAACATACAGCCATGCATGCCGGTGATCTGGCAGCGCCGCACGTCGGGCACCTTGAAGTAAGTGTGCAGGAGCAGTTGGCAGCTGAAAGTGAGCTCCTTGCTTGGATTGTACACCCCGATGTTGAAGTGCAACTCCTTCTCCCGCAGGATAAGGCGGTATGTCAGTCTAAACCTGCACATTTGGATACAATTTGTCATTATTATATTATCATAGATATATTAAAAACCACTTATGAACGACACGTTTTTGAAGTCGATATTCAATTCGAGTGTACATTTTTTTGTTTTTGTTTAACTGCCTCGGTGGTGTAGTGGAAAGCATGTTCGACTCCCAGGTCGCGCCAAGTTTATTTTAATGAGTCTTTCTGTGTTGTAAGCCTCGGTAACAGCTCGGAGTTGGGAAGTTGGCAGTATTTCACACGAGTATTAGAGTAACAGTAATAGAGAGTGCACGTTGTGTCTGCGCGTACACTTGTGCACTATAATATCTCCTGCGCAGTTGGCTAGTCTCAATGAGATTAACCGCCGTGGCCGAAATCGGTCATGACATTATTATATTTTTTGATGTATGCAAGTACCTGGTGAATAGTTTTACTTAAATGTATAGACATTGAGTGCATCTTATAAAACTAAAATAGTACAATACAAAGTGAAGAAATAGATTGTCTCTATTTCAATGAATTATTATCAACTTCGTGTATCTGATCTAAGACACTCGACAGTCTACACTATGAGTAGTTAAAAAACCAGACATTATAATAATTAAAAAAAAACGCCATACGAAAATAAGGATATATGTACTTATTGGTTATTATTTATTAGTAATAATGATTATTCATAAATAAGTACTTTTTTGGCACCTAAAGTCAACACTCTTGCTTGTTGAATCTAAGAAACGATTAGACAGATTTTAAGGATACTTCACAATATTAAGTGACAAGAGGAAAATATAGCTTGAGTAGAGAACTATTCTAATCGTTTTACGAACAAATTATGAATTGTGACGGTGAAGTCCACAATTTACGGACTATGTACATATGTAAGTACATTTATGTACGTACTTAAGAGAAATTATAATATTTAAATTGCAATACAAAACACTTTAATTCAATATTTAAATTGCAATAGACACAAGACGGCTACTTTTTCTCGTCATATAATTTGATACCTAAATATTTAAATTACAAATTTTCCTTACTTGGTCAGAAATAACTATAATTGACTACATAACAAATATATTAATAATTTTTTTTTTCGTTTTAATTTCATACGATAAAAAACATGGCGGATGAAAAGTAATAGTAAAAATGAAATATTTTTAAGACTCAAATGTCTGTGCCATTTTCAATAATGTTTGCTCTTTTAGATATTTATAATAATTGACGGGGAAAGCTAGCGGTAAGCCACTTCCGTACCATTATACACGTTTTATTACAAATTATAGTTGAATTATGTATATGCTAAGAAAATCGGATCGTATATTAACTTATATTGAATGCCACATGGGCGCACCAACGCCATGACCTAATAAACCCCTACGCCAGTGGGTGAAGACCTCAACACTGGTGATGCTATGAAACGAGGTTCTTGTCGGCGAGCGGCCGCGGAGAAACATCGTAAAGTCGTGAAGTCAAACGTCCTAACAGACTTATACCGCTGTTATCGTCGTGATGAAGGCACCTTTTTACTTCTCCCTCTAACCTAGAGGCGCTACAACGCGTCTCCTGTGCATAATAGTGATGATTTAAGAGGCTCTACAATAATTTGAATACCACACAGATAATATAGGTAGATGTATGTACCTACAGGCGAACCTACAACGCTCTAGTAGTGCCATGTGTCTGCTGAACCTTGACAATTTTCCTCAACAAAAAAAGTTATATTAAATAAACAAGTCTGACAAAACAGGGGTCTCGTAACTCTATTAAGACGTACGAGATCATTAAAACAACAACACAAAATAAGATATATAAATTGAAATAAAAACAATAACGATGAAAGCATGTGGAAATGTAGATTGTAGAGTGCATGTACCTAGATGTATAGAGCTATATGAAACGTGTATACCAAAATCGTTATTGAAGCAATACTAACTGGAAATGCCACATAGATCGCGTGAAGTCATCGTCCATGAGGCTGAAAACAGCTTCCACATCCCCGCTGGGCAGTCTCTCCGGCATCTTCTCTACGTGCCAGCGTGCCACCCGCGCGAACCCGTGCTGTGGACCGAACGCCCATTGTCCGAATTGCGCTGGAAAGGTAGAGTTACAAAAATATTTATCATAGATTGTGAGTGTGAACATTAGCTACTTCTCTACATATAACATAATATTATGATATTTTTTTTACGTTGAGAAATACACTTAAGCATATTATACTATACTACAGGTTATATGGGACCCACTACCTAGAAAAGCTAGTACTACCCACTAAAATCAATCACAACAACCATAGGGTTGCTCTCATGATCCACTGCTACCATACATTAAGAGAAGTACCAGGAGCAATCCGCATGGTACATCGCCCACCGAGGTGGACCTCCCAAGTGAGTTTGTTAGCTTTACTTCCAGCTGCATTGCTTGCATCATGTCTTACTCTAACTTTTGATTTTTACTCCAGGGCAAATCCTTATTTTTTTCAAGTAAATTCGAATTTATTTGCTACACAACTGAGTGAAAACTTAAACAAGACACTTAAAGTTTTTTTTTAAAATTAAGGTTGTAATAGTTAAGGGGCTAATTTTAGCTAACATACACATAATAACTCTTCTCAGTCTGGAAAAGTAAACCAGGAGCAAAAATTGTAACTCATTAATATTACAAAATACAAATTATTTTTGGTGATGATATGGCAAAGTATGTATAAGCCAGTAGTAGCCCAGTGGTAACAGGCTCGCTTGAGAAATCGAGTGAAGCGAGTTCAAATCCCGGGTCTCGCACTCTCATATTTTCATGTGCGCATCATTTCTAACATGATTACCATTTGTCTTAGCGGTGAAGGAAAACATCGTGAGGAAACCTGTATATCTGAGAGAACCTAGCAAGTTTTCAAAAGACATGTGAAGTCCGCCAACCCGCACTTGGCCAGCGTGGTGGACTATGGCCTGACCCCCTCGTACTGAAGGAAAGCCCGTCTCCAGCAGTGGGACGTTAAAAAAAGGGCTGAATACATACAACGTATGATTTCGGGGGTACATGTTTATACATGTAGGTATGTATATACATGTATAAACACACTTTAAAAACGTTTTACTGCATCCATACATATTACTTACATAAATGAAGTGCACCTAAAGGAAATGAACACTTTTAAGATAATTAAGCCTTTTGTTTTACTCTGATTTACGCAAATGACGTTACCGAAACCTAATGTACGGGCTTACGAAAAAACATTGTCTAATTTATTCGGTGTACCTAATTTGTTTCCACTGGAACTTTATTTATAGAGATGGGAATTGACCTTTTTATATATTAATTTGTATATCAATGTCATTAACAAATATCGAAAATTGATTTAAGCTTGATTTTTACAACGTTGGCAAAGCAACATTTCTGACATCTGATGTTATGCGATAAAACTTTTCGTCAAACGTTCAAGTGAGTTTTTTTTCTCCTTCTTTACTGTAGCTAAATATTTCGAGATCATATATTATTTAATAATGATAAAGGCTCATCACCTCAAGAATAATTCTTTAAATGTAACATTTATCAGAAATATATGTAAGTTTACCATTATGTCTGATTATCAATAAAAATTCTATTAAATAAAAAAAACACAAATTTATACTTACGAAATACAAACGGTATTCCTCCCCGTATCGCTCTCTTCCCGTCGAACACAGCCTGTTTACTAAAACAAAAATAAAAAACTTTTGCAAACTTCATTTTACAAACAAGGAAAGTTTACAAAGAATCAGTAGCAGTACTCGTAATGTAAAGGATACAAAGAAGATTGCTGGCATTCCAGAGCAAAGTTTCGAAGAAGTTGTTTTATAAAATTTTGATTTTTTTAAGAAATATTGATCAATAATGGAGAAAACATTTGACTAATTCTTAAAAAAAAAGAAAATTAGAAAATCAATAATTATAAATAATGATTTCCTTTAAAAGCTTAAACACAAATAACATTAGCAATATATGTAATACTAGCGGACCCGACAGACGTTGTCCTGTCTACACGTCTTTAATTTGAAAATTTCAAACTTTTTTTAATAATTTTTTTGATGAAAATTATTATTCAAATTGTGAATCTAAACCATTCCCAGATCCCATTGAACAAACACAAAAAATTTCATCAAAATCGGTCCAGTCGTTTGAGAGAAGTTCAGTGACATACACACTCACAGAAGAATTATATATATAAAGGTGTATAGCAATAAAATATTCTGAACAGAAATAATACTAAGAGTTGGATGGAAAGATAATGACGATAACGAAATATTATTACACGTTAAAAACAAGCTGTTTGAAAGGAATTCAAAGAAGTTTATAAGGGTTTCGCGATAGTGCCTAGGATACTAAGTATTCTCATTTATTACGAGAATATTAATGTTTTCAATATTAGCATTTATTTTTATTAGTAAAGACTTTTTTAATTGAAACTATGTTATTATTCACCGGGAGTATTTCTACAAAAAATGTATGTACTTATCTACACATATAATAAAATTGTAACTAAGCCGAATCTGTAAATTAAATTCTTTTTGGAAAATTTTATTAAAATAAACATTGTTATCGATACAGAGGCCGAATCTACGAGAACCTATAGTTTTTAGAATTTTTGTCTGTATGTCTGTCTGTCTGTTTGTTTCTTACCGCATCACAGAAAAACCACTAGAGGGATTTTGATGAAATTTGGTGATAGCTGGTTATCCGGGTCAACATATATTATCCAACCGGGTCAATATATAATTTTTACCGCGGGAAAATGTCTCATTTCTGAGAAAAACTGCAATGTAAGAGTATACTCATATGTAAAACCTAAGAATTTAGTTTTTGGTCATCTGAACGCGAGCGAAGCCGCGGGCAATGCTAGTCTAATATAAAGATCACAGAACAATACAAAAGAAAAAAAAGCAGTTTAATCTAGTTCCTATAAGATCCTATATATATATATATATATATATATATATATATATATATATATATATATATATATATATAGCTATAAGGAAAACTTTTTATATAAAAATTATAAACATATAAAATTTTCCGCAATAAGACAAAATTAATATAATATTTTCCTACGTCGCACTAAAGGAAATTTCCAAAGGAGTTCACTGTTAACAGTAAACAAAAAAGCATGAGAAAAATATCTAAAATCCGATACAGTTTGCAATGCACCAGTGCTCAAATAATGTGCACGCCAACAGTTTAACCTGAAGCGAGAGACAGCAGCATTACTTTCCAGCTCACGTTTTGAACAAGATCAATTTTAGCGGTTGCATTCCGACGCGGCCGGGGGACGCTGCAAAAAGCACCCTTATATTATAAATGCATCAGTGGTCAGGTCGGCATCGCGACAAAAACGTAGCTGAGCAAGCCGCGTATAAATTATTTATGCCATTTTTAGCATTTCGGAGTTTGTGACGCGACTGGACATCGACGTCGATTCTCGGCAGATGTCACCAGCAAAACATGCATACTCGTATTGCTGGATAATCTGGCGAATTTTTACACCATTACGCCCTGAATACCTTTTAATTAAGATACGAATGAATTTACAACTAAACAATGCTGTAAGTTTTTACATGTAGCTACGAGCGAATATTTTAAATAGTAACACCGATAAGTGTATACGATTGTTAATCCCAACATAAAACAATATACGTTTTAACGATGCGTCTGTTGTTTAAAATTATTTATTATGTTGTAGAATACAACAATGACAATGTTGAGAAACAAGTAAATGCAAATCGATGATAGATAAATAAATCCATAACGCCTACGCTACTCTAACCAGTTCTTACCACGCTAGATGCATTAGCAGTATTAGTAATATTAATTTACCATTTTATTCCTAAGTATAAACACATACAAATATCTGGACGTAGCATCGAGTAACTTCCAAATTTACAAAATATTATAATTTTCTTAAAATATTTTATATTTGTAGCAATATTAACACAACTCTAACTTTAGACTGTTTTGCTAATATACCTGATAATTATATATACGAATACTCTCATACAGATATACCAATAAAGTAGATGGAAATCACTAAAAAACCGATCCAAACCAGGCCCAATTTCAATACAAAAATTATAATGATATTAATTGTTGATGCGTGATTAATTTTGTTAATTGGCTATAATAGAATGGCTAATTAATATTCCATCTGTATCCTTACGATAACTGTGATCAACTGTGGGTAGTGCCATTAGCACAGCCACTGAACAAAAAAAAATAATCAAGTGCCAACCATCTTAATACAAATTTCCTACGTTATAAAACTGATTGTAAGTACATATCCAATCTTACATCTTATTAATATCGCTATAAATAACTCAGTTTTTCCTTCTTAAACACTAAGTTTAATATTAGGTATCTTATGAGGCATTGAGGTAGTAGATAAATAGAAGATATATCCATTATCTATACATATAATAAAATTGTAACTAAGCCGAATCTGTACATTAAATATTTTTTGAAAAATCTTACTGGAATAAACATTATTATCGATACAAAGTCCGAATCTAGTTTTTAGAATTTTTATCTATCTGTCTGTTTGATACCGCATCACAGAAAAAACACTGGAGGGATTTTGATGAAATTTGGTATGGTGATAACTGGTTATCCTGGTCAGCATATTGAATACTTTTTACCGCGGGAAAATATTTCATTTTTGAGAAAAAATACAAAAACTGGTTTTTGGTTTTTGGTCATCTGAACGCGGGCGGAGCCGCGGGCAATGCTAGTTTTATTAATAAATTAAATAATTAATTCTGTTGGAAATAGGCGAAGTCATGAGCGACTAGATAAAGTTTTAATTAGAGATTCCGGATGGAATTCCTTCATGAGCGGCGGTCGGCTGATACATTCCCGCTTCGGCAGCGACCAAGTTTTTACACTGCACAAACTCGTTCCATCCTCCGTTCGTCTCCCTTGGAAACAATGGCTACAGAAAATGTAGCTATGCCGATCGATTTCTTACTATAATTATCGCTATAAAGTGTTTAAAGTATTAATTAACCTTTCGATTCCCAGAAATACGTCCCGGTGATACTGCATTGCCAGACATTTTTTGCTGACTTCTTCCCATTGTCACACATTATAAATGATTTATGTAATTTAATGGCATTTATATTTATTACTCGCACAAATATTTTAGTTTCATAGTTACAAACAAAAAATTAAATGGAATATTATCCTTAGAATAAAATAAAAAAGAAGTTGAAATAAAATTCTATTTTAGCTCAAGAAGAATCACAAAGCCAAAACTTTAATAAGGGGTAAATTGTATTTCTCTGATACTGATGAGCACTTTAGTTATTAGTAACTCGACCCATATTCTATAAATCGCACAAAAAACTATCAATGTCGCAGCGCTCTCATCCCATTGTTGCACGCTTTCTTGAACTAATCTAATATGAGCACTTACTGCTTCTCAACATTGTTGAAGCTAACCGTTCTCGTGAGATGGCTGATTAACCGCATTGAGAAACTGAGGCAGGAGGCCCTTACTTAACTTAATTGTACAATGTACTTTGTAAATGCTTTTTACTTTAATGTCCTATAAAAATATTTATCAAGTTCCTATAGAATATAGATAATACTTAGATTTACGCGATTATTTGACATTTTGACATTTATAGATATAATAAAAAATGTAACGGATCGCTGTCGCTACATGGAAGATATATGAGAAAAAATATTATTGGGACCTTTATCAACGCAAATAGCACCCAAAACAATGATTGTTAGAATTTTTCTCTGTTTATCTGTGCGTTTTTGCACGCTAATCTCAGTAACGGGTTATCCGATTTAGATGTGGTTTTCACTAATATATTTTGGCACGCTTCACTTAACATTTAGTGTTTGTTTCATGTCAATCGGTTCATAAATAAAAAACCGATTTAAAGAATCGCGCCGAACATTTGTTAAACTATCTATAATTCTTTCTCTGTTCAATAGCATTCACTGAAACTTTAATAAACTTCATAATAATGGTGTATTTAAAAATTTTGCATGGTGGTACCTTATATCCCCAGTCCACATTTTAGATACTTCTCATCCCGGAAAATAAAGAGTTCCCGTGGAATAATTAAAAAACTATAGTAACTTATACAGCTTTAGTACACAATAACTATTGATTGGATGTTAATGAAACGTGAAAAAATTCGCGGATTTATTTAGAGATATATTTGTCACGGGACAGACTAAGGTTTAAGACGTCTCAAAAGCATTATATTATGTATAGTTATTGGATATATTGCAGTTATTATTATAATATTTTTTTTGTAATCTTTTTAATTAGTAATCTTATTTAGTACTGCTATTATTATATTTATAACCATAGAGTAATAACTCTCTGTAATAATGTCACTTGTGCAATTTTTTTTAAACTTTTTCGGTTTCAAAGGCGTTTCAATCAGTCATTCGGAAAAACAAAGTTTTAACACCGATCTAGATAACGTTGCGACTTGTTTCGTATTCCTTCCCCTGCATAGTGGTAATGTTCAGTAGCCAATAGCCATTCTATTGAAAGATAAGCGTCCGTTGTAATTACACGCGGGTAATGAATAGAACCTGTCCAAGAGTGGCATTCATTAATATTGGCTCGTATCTATTCACGTCGGATCTCTGGCGGGAAGTTATAAATTTAAAAAAAATGCACGACTCAATAAAATT